AAACTACAGGGATTATAGGGTTTATATAGGGGTTATATTGGAGTTATATTGGGATAATGGAAAATAAAATGGAAACTACTATAATGGAGAATCAAATGGAAAAGAAAATGGAAAATGAAATGGAGTATATAGGGGTTTTTATGAAGGACTCAGGCTCTCTGCTTGCTAAAGAGGTGCAGAACGGAGCCGTTGTGATACAACCGCAGCCCTCGGAAATTGTACTGTGCAGGCCATTCTCAACTAACAGGCGTTTAAGGGCAAGTGGGGAGTAAATCCGGGTACAATAGTGTAGCTCCATACTCTATATAGAGTATACTACTGATATTCACAAGTATTGTTCATTGTATTATTACTGTTCTTACTATTGTCACTGTTCATGCTGTTGTAGTACTCCTGTTGCTGGTTTCACGATTGTTCTGAATACTGTAGAAATCCACCCCCCTGAAGCACTACTAAGTCGAGCATGGTGGTGGGGCTGTCTTCGGGCTAGCCTTCATAGTATACCTTAATGAAAATCAGACTCCATCACTAGCGCCGTGCATACAATGGCATAAGGGGCCCCTGCTGCAAATGAACTATCTCATACTGGGGCCTAACTCATCACCAATCTTATCTGAAGGTCTATTTGACACACCCTGTACCATAATCAGGAAGCTCGTGCCGGCAATATTGGCAAATATCTAGGCCTCTACACTAAATCGAAGTGGGTCTAGATGACCAGGATTCTTATTTCGAGGTAAAGAGCTCGATACATCCCACGGTCACACCCAAAGCCCGGTTGATGTCCAGGGACTTAGACTGAGGTACCCTGAGGGTCCCTTTAAAGAGGTCATAGAGGTTTATATGCTTATAGGGGTTATACATAGTAAGTGTATGAACTCCCTATTATGACAGCTAAAGTGAAGACACGCCTTCAATGTCTCATGGCGGCATGTGTGCTTTTGGTGGCCTCAAGCACACGACCCCCATCGCTAGCAAGAAAACAAGATCTTTCCTAGGTGCTTTCATGTAATGAAGCCTATGTCTCCGTCATTAGCGTAGTAGGTCTTGAGAAAGTATATGGCGGGTAATTATGCGAGGAACTCAAGTTTGGGGCCCATGCCTACTTTAGCAAAAGAGGTCTTGACATATCTTGACTAAAGTGCAGCTCTCAAAGAATACTAGAACGGAATAACAACCGAAGGGCTACAAATTCGGGCGATGTCCCAGACAAGATGTGGAAGCCATAAACCCCAAACTATGGACCCTACATACCCAAATAGGACATGTAAACCCTAAACCCTAGAATACATACTTGTTAGCATGATCATGGAAAGCCCAAACCCGAAAGTCTCAAATCCCCAGGCAGAACATGCAAACTGTACATGCTCAGATCGAACGTGGACGTGTTTCGCATGGGCACAACTTTGCGTGGCGTCTCTTGAGTGCCTAAAATATCCCCTATAACCCAAGTTTATATACATATACTCTATATATTATATATACCCTATATAAGTCTCTGTATTCCCTATACGTCCCAACACTTGCAGCAGGGGAGTTTCCGGTCTCACGAACCCTCAGGCTAAACATGGAAACCAAAAAGCGAAATCTGGAAGTATGTTTGAGATCAGACATGGGGAGTGCTCGAAATGGTGGTCCCGTTTGGCGTAAGCTAGATATGTGGGTATCTTATTAACGGGGACCCACAGAAGGACCAACATTTTCTAACCCTCCCCGCACAAGAAACACGAAGGGCACAGACCGTAGATGGCGGTCAGGATGAGGTCCTGCTTCAATTCAATCAGATGGGTGATTGTCAAAATTATGGTCCCCTTTTTGGGTACCCTAAATATTAGGTGCCGTATTATAATAGGCATCCGCAAAGGGACCATAATTTTGACAACGACCCAGATCTTATCCCATCCCCCAGGTTTATTGGGGGTTAGTAGGGAATGAGGAAATATGTTCAAAGATTATACAGGGATTATATTCCCCTACTTTCACGCAGTATGCAGAAGAAAGCCCCCCAACCTTCAAAATCGGTTGACGTGAGGGGGGCTCCGAAGCTTCTTACTGGGGGAAGGGGAATCACGTCCCTTGGACTGATCCAGACTAGAAGGGTGGGAATTGGATCTGCATGAGGGCGCTGCGACCAAAGCAGCCGCCTCATAGTGCTTACAAGCTGAAACACGGCAGTTCCTGCCTAAACCTAGGACATTTCAACTCTGTGCACTTGCAACGCCCCCATCGTCCTCTCCCCTGACTCTGGCTATTCCTGTGTGCAATAACTACCAGGGTTGTTGGGCAAAAGAAATGTTCGGCACTTGCGGCACAAATACCTGATCCTAGGTCCAAAAGGCTTAAGGTACACCCCTTTTTAGGATTCTACTTTGAGATTCACTGGTAGCTATGAGTAGTGGCCCAAGTGCCGCAAAGAAGGAAAGAAGCCGTTATGAGTGTGTTTTTTTTACCATACTTACCGTAGAAGCCGAGCTCACATAACTCGTTTACCCAAAAGTAGTCAGTAGTGAACAGGAAAGAAGCACAACAAGCAGCTGGGTACCAGCCCCTAACAGCCAAAGTTCATACTAGGTAGCCTGAAGCCCCAAGCCCCAAGAGGACTGTTCGTGTATGGTGCTTCACCCCAACGCCCCCCAACTAAGACACTATAGCTATCATGTGACTGCAATATAAGGACCTACTTGTGGAGCTCGGACCTATCAAAAACCTCTTCTTACACGGGGGCTGAACCTGACAAACAGCCCGGCCCCACACACTCAATGCTCGGCTGGGCAGCACCTCTGATTATCTGTTGCTAAACTGGCGCTTTTAAATCATGATGACCGTTGGGATGTATGGCGGCTCTTCTGAGAAATCCCAAATAACTTGGTGCATACAGTTGTCCTGTCAGTCCCCAACAGCAATGGAAACAGCAAAGCATTTCTTTTTGGATGCCTGCTCCTTCAAATGGCAAAGTGTCTGCATGACACTATGTAAAACAAACTTAGATAACGATGGAAGTTCAGTATATCAATCCTCCTTCCAATCTGGAGGGTCAGGGGGACTTAGTAACTGGGTTAACGATTGGGAGAATTGGGGGGTCGTTTCAGGATTACGGGGCTTATAGGTACACTAAGTCCCCTGCACCCGCCAGTATCAAGAGCATGGGGCTGCAATTTAGTTTGAGGGGGGAGGCATAGCACGTCACTT